CTTTATACTATGTTATGAATAAAGTGTGGGTCAAAACCATAATTTTTGGTATATGTCAATTAACCATCATCGACAAAGGACCCCCTCAGTTGGAAGCCAATAAGTCTTCTTCAATATGGGGGATTAACTATGAATTCCTCCCTATTCTCTTATAAAACCACACTACAGTAAGAGTTAAACTCAAACTGTGTAAGCCCATAGGAAGACTGAATGGGACAGGAGACAATGATCACACTGGGGATGGTCACAACATCTTAGAAATGAACAGCGGAAACAGACTTGGGTTTTGACATCCACCACTCTATGGCCTTACAGCAAAAAGAAACTAATAAGGACCTGGCAAGGTTCTGGAATCACAGGTGTGAAGTACCACAGCGGGTAGGGAGTTCTGTGGTGAAGTGAAAAAAACCAGATAACTGAAAACCTGTAGGAAAGCACTAAAACCCTCCAGCTCCCCACCCTGCCTGCTCAGGCAACTGCTCCTCTCCTACTTTTATCAAAGACAGGCTTCATTACCTGAATAAACTGAAACAGAAAGCCACTAGATTTAAGGATACAAACACAAATAAAAGTACCTTACAGATCTGGAGGACTAAGTGAAAATCTGAATACTATTAGGTGAGCTTAATGAGGGCAGAGACATAATATCTGTGCTGTTCACTGATGCATCTCCGTCACCTACAATGGTACCTGGTACATAGAAGTCACTCAATATGCAGCAGAAGAGTTTAGAAGTTGTGTTTTTTTTTTTTTTTTTTTAATCTCCAAGAAAGTAGAGCAACAACCACCACAACAAGATCAAGAATAGAAAGCGAGAGAGAAAAATATAAAATTTGAACATCAATCCAGGCAACTCTGATCCACAGGAGTATCTAGAGAGAACAGAGAAAACAAGGGCGGAGGGGTATGAATACAAAGAAATAATGCAAGAAATTTTGCAGAACTAAAGTTTCTAGCACACACAAAATAAACAAAATTTCAGAATACCAAGAATAAAAGACAATATTCTAAAATATTCATGTTATTTTAGGTAGAAAGGTCACAAATAGAATCAGAAATGAGAACGGTGCCGGACTTCAAAAGCAACCCCGAAGCTAAAATATAATGGAATAATGCCTTCTAAACTCTGTGGGAAATGGTTTTTAACCTAGAATTCTATACCTAGCCCAAAGAACAATCCTGCATAAGGGTGAAAGTAGGAATAAAGACATTTTCAAACACAGGAGGTTCTCAGAATTTACCTCCCACATATCCTTTTTCCCTCTACTCTCCCAAAAAAGCAAATGCAGAAATATTCCTTTCTTTTAATGGAATAGAAAGGAAAGTATTTGTATCTCAGAAGCAGGTAATATAGCACTGAAGAGGGGCCAGAGGAATTCCCAGAATAAGGAAAATAAAGTCCCACCATGATGGCTCTTCAGAGGCTAAACATGACTAGTTCTAATTAGAGTAAGAGAACAGGGTGCTGCCTGAAGGAACAGTAACAAAACAAAATTCTTGAATTTATGTGTCTCATACTGCGGATGGTTCATGAGGAGAATTTGGGGATAAATTAATGACAAGGACCTTGTCTTATAAATTATAACAGCAACAACAACAACACCACTAAGCATCTTTTTCCAATGAATTCTTAAAAAAAAATGTTAGATGGGCTGGGCACAGTGGCTCACGCCTGTAATCTCAGCAATTTGGGAGGCCGAGGTGGGTGGATTACCTGAGATCAGGCATTCAAGACCAGCCTGGCCAACATGGTGAAATCACATCTCTATTAAAAATACAAAAATTAGCCAGGCATGGTTGTGTGTACCTGTAATCCCAGCTACTCAGGAGGTTGAGGCCGAGAACCCCTTGAACCCAGGAGGCAGATGTTGCAGTGTGCTGAAATTGCGCCACTGCATTCCAGCCTGAGCACGGAGCAAGAATCTGTCTCAAAAACAAAAAAGTTAGATGGAAAAAGAAATGATAAAATATTGCATGGCTTGAATATAACTTTCTATCATAATAAATACTGACGTCCCCTAAAGTTGGTAAAAGGTAACATAAAAAGGACATGCAGAGAAAAAATATAGGAGTGAGGTGTAAAGGAATTAAATCTTCACCATCCAAAGTCAAAAGCCAATGGATAATGTTTAAAATGAAAAATTCAAAGCAATAGCCATATAAACATGGAATTTAAAAAGAGAAGTAAACAGTAAAACCAAAACAAAGAGCTTTTCTTAAGTGCATCTGGGAAATAAAAGGGGCATGAGAGATTAGGGCAGCAATTTGATATTTGTCTTATAACAGTTGTAAGACTATTTTTTAAACTATAGACATATTTTATAAAATACAAGTTGAATTTTTTAAAAAAGAGAGTTTTCTCCAGTAAACAACCTAATTGGTTACTTCTTATCTCAACAGGATTGTGGATTATGGATCTCTGGAATAAAAACATTTAGTCTCACAGCAAAAGAAGTTTCGAGTTTATATACAAATTAAGTAAAAGACTAATTTTGATTTTGAAAAAGTCGTTCTCTAAACTTTTACAGGACGTTTAAATAAATTACATCATGAACAAAACTGCAGTATGCCAGTTCACATCCTCATGACCTCACGATTCTGCCTGAGCTCCACATCAATGAAAGGAAAATCGGATAATGAAGCACTTAGTCTAATATCTTAATAGCAACCACCGATTAGGATTATTTTTACTTTTTAAAAGTTTCTCTTCTATTTTTAGAAAAAAAAAAATCTAACCTTATATGTAAATCTATCTAGTGTGCAAATGACGTAAGGCCGGGGTGGGTAAGGCCGAAGGTACCCCAAATCCAGCCCACTCCTGCTTTTGTAATAATTCACCAGCTAAGAAAGGTTTTTATATTTTTTTAATAATTGGGAAAAATATATACATTTTGTGACATGTGAAAAACCACACAAAATTCAAATGTCAGTGCTTGTAAGTAAAGTTATATTGGAACACATCTTCATTCATTAATTTCTGCATTGATCATTGTTTTCTGGGCATGGCTAAGTTGAACAGTCATGACAGAGATTATGTAGCTCACAAAATCTAAAATATTAACTGTCTTCTTTCAAAAAACGTTTGTTGACCCCTGACATAAAGGACTGTAATTCCGAATTCATTTTGAATTTTACTTCAAATTATTGAGCCAAATTCTTATATTAAAATATAGATATAAGTCACTGAGTCAAGGATTAAGTAAGGAGACTTAGGAATGGTCTTTATAACCCTTCAAAGAGTTAAGTACAAAGGGATTTAATGGTTTGTGTACTATCTGTTCTCACACTGCTATAAAGATACTACCTGAGACTGGGTAATTTATAAAGAAAGGAGGCTTAATTGATTCCCAGTTCCACATGGCTGGGGAGGCCTCAGGAAAGTTGCAATTATGGTGGAAGGTAAAGGGGAAGCAAGGCACGTCCTTATATGGTGGCAGGAGAGGGAGAAAGTGAAAGAGTGAGGAAGTGCCACACTTAATACCATCAGCTCTCATGAGAACTCCCTATCTCGAGAACAGCATGGGGGAAAGTGCCCCCATGATCCAGTCACCTTCCACCAGGTGCCTCCCTCTATATGTAAGGATTACAAATGGAGATGAGATTTGGCTGGGAACACACAGCCAAACCGTATCTGTTTTCTTAGAGTCACTGAGGTAAATGGGAACAGAATGAATACTAGAGCCCCCAACTCTGAGATGGCTGCTCTGTTAGATAAGCATCTATCACCAAAGTTTTAACCCTAACATGCCTTTGTCCCTACACTGCTCTTCAACTTTCCATTATTAAGCCACCCGTTTCATTTTAGTTAAAATGTTAATAAGATACACTATTTCATCCCACCTTCCAAGTATTTAAAGCAGATTTCTGTTGATATTTACTTATGACCATGCCAATATGGCAGTACAGAATACTAGTTCAGTATGGAGTCTCTGGTGTCAGAGAGACCCTGGCTTTGACTCCGTCCCCGAGTATCATTCTGCCTTGTAACAATGGGAACTTCTCTAAACTGAGTATTTCTCACCTCTAAAGGTGAGTTCAGTTAGACTGAATAAGATGAAGGATGTCAAGAATGTAAAGGTAATGAATGTTACAGAATTAAGAGCTCTAGAAGCATTATCTATTATACTTTTTCTTATGTCCAAATATGTTATTCGTTATCCTCGAAGAGCTTCATGGGCAGTGTACTCAAATATCAGTGTACATGAGAATCACACTGGTGAACTTGTCAATGCAGACTCCCCAACCCTACCCTCAAGACAGTATGATTCTTTAATCTGGAGGCTCCGGAATCTGTACTTTCAAGCTCATGTATGATTTGGAGGCAGGTGGTCCATGGAATAGAAACAGTGTTCCCAGAGGATGAAACAGATGCCCAGAGGTTAACAGACAAGTCAAAAGCCTACATAATTACAGCTTCAAGTAGTTCCCTGCATCAAACAGCAAGGTACCACTCACTCATTTTTGTTGTTTTTCCAACGGCCCTTTTTTAAAATTTAAACTTCTGTTAGGCTCCATAAGTTAATTAATGTTACAGATAATATGAAGATGTCTTAGTTTTTAAAGGTTAGCACTTCCAGTTATACATCCAACTAAATGTTAAAGGCATTCAATAAGGTCAGTACTCAGATCCCCAGGAAACCCTGTTTTCTGCCTTAGAAGCCAGCCACACAACCTTGTTACCGACCCCAGAGCACTGAAAACTGACCATTTTATTGACTGGTATATTTGCAAACAGAAAAAATAAAATAAAATAAAATGTGTGTTCCTGCATTGCAGTATAAACCAAAGCAAACTAAAAATATGGCTAAAAACAAGCACAAAACTAAACACATCCTACATTGAGAAAGCTTGATGTGTAATACATGTGAAGCTAATTGCATGCAACAGCTGCACCTCAGGGTAAAAATTTTCAGTTGAAATGTTTATTCCAAAACCAGCAACAAAAGTAGCACTGAGAGCGACAAGAGTTGGAGAATGTAAATGCACACATTCACAATTACCTTGCTCCAGTCTAAAGCACAGGGAACGTCTTGCTGCTTCCATCTCAGGAGTTGGGTTATCTAGGACATGTCTACACCATTGCAAAGGAGTCAGGGATTTCTCTGATGAGGTGAACGTCTTTGAAGAGCCAACGTATAACCTTAAAAAAAGAAATCTACATTATAGGTATGATATAGGTACACAGAGAGTACCTCTCTCTAGGGAAAGCAACATGTATTTAACAATTTCCATAGAAACACAACTCATATTTGATCACTTCAAAGTATCAGAAATAGTTTTTAACAGGCAAATATCCCCAAATAGAAGATGACACTTCCTGTAGCCTGGTGAGAAGAACTTCCAAAAAAAGGTCTAACAATTTTTCCCCTAACTGTGTGTTTCAGCATCAGAGATCAAGGGCTTTTCTTTTCTTTTCTTTTCTTTTTACTAAACTAGCCCTAAAAAGGCACTATCATGATCTTACTATCTCTATTGACATGTCAAGAAATAAACATTTTCATCTTTCTCTTTCACAACAGAATCTTTGGTAAACTTGGGCTAATGAAGGTAAACATGATGTGACAAACAAGGCAAATCTTGTGTATTTTAAAAAAATAAGTCTAAACACCCGTAAAAGCCAGTCAATTGATTCTTTGAACCCCTACATAATCACATATTTCTCCTGTCTCAAATCTACACTAACCTTGGTATATGCTTCTTTTTCATTAAAGCCAAACAAAGAGCTTTAAAAGATATGTTTTAGGAAGAGTTCACTTTTAGCACCAATACCATTACACAGTAATGGGTAGTATGCAAAATAACTACCCAGAAGCACTGCAGGTTTTAAAAAAGCTTCTCTCATTAATATGCCATATTAATGTAGATTTTAGAATATTTTCAGTGATAGGGCTATACGAAAAGGTTTATCTTGAGGAATAAGTAAGAGTTAACTAAAAAAGCGGGAAGGGTGAATTACCTCCCCGAAACTGCTGGCTCTAATACATGACATCTCACTATTATAAGCTTACATTAATTATAAATCTAAAGTAATCTTCCTTCCAACAAAGCTACCACAATTCTAATATGCACATATTCTTGAAATAACATACTTCATCATTCACACTTCTACTGTTCTAGACAAAACGTTCACCTACTAATTTATCAGTTACCCAAGACAGTTGGGGAATGTACTATTCTTTGGTAAATTATTCTTATAGATCAGGGATTGCCAAACGTTTTCTGTAAAGGGCCAGCAAGTAAATATTTCAGGCTTTGTAAGCCACATGATCTCTGTCACAACTACTCAGCCCTGCCATTCCAGTCCAAAGGCATCCTAGACAATATGTAAGTGAATAAACATGGCTATGTTCCTTTAAAATTGATTTATAGATACTGAAAGTTGAATTTCCCATAGTTTTCCATTCTTTTTATTTTTTTTCCAACATTTAAAAATGTAAAAACGTATCTTATCCACCATACAAAAGATGCAACAGCTCTGATTTGCCCTTGGGACAGTTTGCTCACTCCAGTTACAGATGAGGACTCTAAAATATAGATCTCAATAGATTTAATTCTAAGTCCAATATATTATTTTGTTTCCTTAGAGTGTGTTGCACAGTCGTGACACCATCAAGAGTGTATCAGTTAAAAATTCATATTCTTGGGCCCCACCTCAGTCCTCCTATGGCAAGATTATCACCGACCTATGTAGGTAATAATCCCTTCCACTTCCTAGGAACACACCCTAAACTGTCGGGTACAGGCTACTCTCCTCCCTGCTCACAAGTATAGGCTAGTCGAGGCCAGTTATTCTCAATGTCTCATGTCTCAAAATTACTCAAACATCTTGTTAAGACAAATTGCTAAACCACATCCCTTAAATTTGATGCATAGGGTCAACGAATCTGAATTTCTAAGAAGTTTCCAGGTAAAGCTAGTATTACTGGTCTGGAGACCACATCTTGAGAGGCACCGGGCTAAGCTAATCACGGTATTTTCATTGTTCCCCTTTGCCTATGACTGGTTTAGGCCCAAGCCCCACATACAATCCTAGCCAAAAGAAACTGAGGGAAAATCATCTGATGGACTTGCGGGCAAGTTTTTCCTCATATTTAAAGGGAGGGAGGAGTGTCACAAAAGGCTCAAGTATATGCTTCCTACGGGAAATGCACCTTAAACATGGGCATACAAATAAGTTAAAGTAAATAGCTAGAAAAGTAATTAAAAATAAAAATAAAAAACTACCCACAAAGAAAAAGTCTGGGACCAGAAGACTTTCCTACTAAACTCTACCAAATATTTAAAGAAAACATCAGTTCTTCACAAACTCTTCCAAAAAAACAGAAGCAGAGGGAATACATCCTAATACATCCTATTAGGGCAGTTTTACCCTGATACCAAAATCCAACACTACAAATTAAGAAACTAACAGCCAGTATCACACACGAACACAGATGTAAAAAGTCTAAATATTTCAGTAACTTGAGTCTAACTTCATCATTAGCATACTTCACCATTAATAAGTGGGGCTTATATCAGAAGTAAAAAGTCAGTACAAATTCAAGCATCAATATAACTTACTAGATTAACTAAAATAGAAAAAGTATATAATATCAATAGAAAAAAAAAAGCATTTGACATCCACTCTTGATAAAAATTCTCATCAAATCAGAAACAGAAAGAAACATCCTCAACCTGATTGAAGGCATCTACAAAAACAGCATAGTGAATGGTAAAAGGGTGAACGCTTTGCCTGTGATATCAGAAAACAGACACAGACATTGGCTCTCATTGCTTCTATTTAACACTCTGCTGAAGATCCTAGCCAATGCAATCAGGCAATACATTAAAAACATTTACATTGGAAAGAAAGAAGTAAATCTGTCTTTATTCACAGATGACATGATCATCTATGTAAAAAAAATCTGAAGAATCTACAAAAATGATAATAGCATAAGTGAGTTTAGTAGCAAGATTATAAGATACCAGATTGATGTAGGAAAGTCAATCGTATAGTTACATATATTAACAACAAACAAATTCATATTTTTAAAATTTCACTTTTCATTTATGATAGCATTTTTTAAAAAAAACCATAAGATGCTTAAGGATAAATCTGACAAAAGATGCGTAGGACCTAAACACTGAAGACTACAAAACATTCTGAGAATTAAAGAGGACATAACTGGAGAGACATGCCATTTTCCTAAGAAAACTAAATATTAAGATGTCAATTCTCCTTAAATTGGTCCACATAATTTGCAAAATCTCAATCGAAATTCCAGCAGGCATTTTTTGTAGAAATGTAGATGATCTAAAATTCATATGGAAATGCAAAGATCTTAGAATAGCCAAACAAATGTTAAAAAAGAAATGGAGAGCTATACCACTGACTGAAGCTCATGACAGTAATGAAAACAGTTTAGTGTAGCATAAAAATAAACGGATCAGTGGAAAAAAATAGCCCAGAAATAAAACCACACATATATAAAGGATTTTTAGTAAAATACAATTTAAAGGATAGTCTTTTAAATAAATGGTGCTGGAACAAAATGGGTATCTATATGCTGGGGGCGGCGGGGGGGAAAAAAAACCTTTGATCCACAGTACAAACAATATCCAAAACTAACTCAAAATAGAGCACAGACAAATGTAAAACTTGAAACTATAACACTTTTATAAGAAACCAAAGGTAAAAGTATTTGTGTCCTTGCGTTGGAAAATGCTTCTTAGATACAATTTATAAGACTGAAAATATGATCCATAAAAGAAAAAAATATCAATTGGACTTTATCAAAACTAAAAACTTTTCTTTTTGAAAGACATTGCTAAAACAATGAGTGATAAACCACAAATTGGGAAAGACATATTTGCAAATCATCTATCTACCAAAGAACTTTTATGCAGAAAACATGAAACTACAAATAGTAAACAACTCAATTTTAAAAATAGACAAAAGGTTCGATTACACATTTCACCAAAGAAGACCTATTACGGCAAACAGCTATATGAAAAGATGTTCATCATTAGTCATTAGGAAAATAGCTAAAACCACAATGAGATACTACCACATACCTATTAGAATGGCTAAAATGAAAAATACTAGCCATAGCAAGTGTTAAGGAAGATTTGGTGCCACTGAAAACTTCATACACTGGTGATGGCAATGAAAAATGGTGAAACCACTTGGGAAAAGAATTTGGCAGCTTCTTAAAAGTTAACCTGCACCTACTCTCTGTTCCAGACACTCAAGTTGTAAGTATTTACCCAAGAGAAATGAAAGCATGTTCATATGAAGACTTAAACATAAATGCCCACAGCAGTTTTATTTGTCATAACTAAAAGCAACCCAAGTGCTCATCAAAAGATGACTGGATAAACAAGCCATGGTTACAATGATGAAATCTAACAGCTCCCACAATAAAAATGAACTACTGATTCATGTAATAACACAAATTTCAAAATAACTATCTAGCTTGAAAGAAGCCAGACAAAAACAAACAAATAGAAGAGTACATATTCTGTGACTTTATTGATATAAAATTATAAAAAATGTACTATGCCTGTAATCCCAGCACTTTTAGAGACCAAGGCAGGCAGATCACAAGGTCAGGAGATCGAGACCATCCTGGCCAACAGGGTGAAATCCTGTCTCTACCAAAAATATGAAAATTAGCTGCACGTGGTGGCATGCACCTGTAATCCCAGCTACTTAGGAGGCTGAGGCAAGAGAACCATTTGAACCCAAGAGGTGGAGGTTGCAGTGAGCCGAGATTACGCCACTGAACTCCACTCTGGGTAACTAATCTAAACTGCCAGAAAACAGATCAGGGGTTGCCAGGGTTGGAGGTAGCAAGGATCAGGAGGGAAAGAATAAGGAAAACAAGGGGCCACAGGAAACCTCAATTGTCAAAATCTATTCACTACACATTAACTGTGGTCATGATTTCCTGGGTATATATACATGTTAAAGTCTATCAAATTGTACATTTTAAGTGCAGTTTACATATTATATTCCAATAAAGCAGTTTTTTAAAAGTCACAAGCTAAAGAATCATTGTTTTGTGGTTTTGTTTGTTTTGTTTTGAGACATTGTCTTGCTTTGTCACCCAGGTTGGAGTGCAGTGGGACAAACACACCTCACTGCAACTTTGACCTTCT